CAGAAGCAGCAGCAGTGGGTTGTAGGATGCAGAACCTGGCCGCCACTGCCCACCCCTATGCGGCTTTATTACAGACTCTGCTTCCTCCTCTGCTGCTTATCGATTCCAGGGCAGACATAGTGTGAGCAAAGGTTCCGAGGAGGTGCCAAATGATCTCTAAGGTCCCTGCTGACCCGAGCTTCTATAAATTTTTACTTTCAAATTCTTTCCAAAAACATAGAACTTTAAGCTAAAAAAGGTGGCGTAATAACTAAGAGGCACAGGGGAGGGTAAAGAAAACATTAAAAACAACAGCACCAAAAAATTAATCCTTTCCCACCTCTTCCTAAGAAATTCGACATTTTCTATTTAAATGTAACTAAACTACATTTAAGAAATTAAATCCCTTTGAACACTGAGATACAGAGTAAAAGGCAAACAAATCAGCAGGAAAACCTTCACCCATACCTACAATTTGAATGTCCTGCAGGGACAGCTTGGAGACCTGCCCAAGAGCAGGAGAAGTGGTTCTTCAGAAGGGCTCCTTTCCAAAGCAAGGGACGGCTCTGAACACACAAGCGAATTAGGACATGCAGATATCACAGGAATGCTTCTGTTCAGTGTCGCTGGTGCCTGTTCGTACGAGCGGTTACCCTCTTGATGTAAGAGTTGATACTTACTCGGGTATACACGGGACATTAAATGCCAACAGTACAGAAGTGTCCACAGGTGCATTGAGCACGACTGGATATTATTGCACTGTCACAATATGTGCCACTTTTCTGAATGCAGTTTGGTAGTTATTCTCCACCGGTTAAAATTTTCAAATATCTATTTATTGATAAAAACCTCAATAACCCAACAAAAATTCATGTTGCTTAGGGGAAAATGCTTCTAATTATTCCATTCCCAACATCTTTTTCTGGAAATAATAAGATACATTTTGTGAATTATAACAGTTTTAGAAATAAACTTAATGTAGGCCTATAAGTTAAAACAAATTTTCATCAAAGATTCAAAGTCCGTTTTAGAAATTTCTTTTCATCTGCAATATAATTAATAACTATTAAAAAAAACAGCTTTGGAGAGAAGCTCTAGGAGATGCTTCATTCCATTCAGTGCGGAGGTCCAGTAACAAGGGAAGGCACAACATATGACCACATGCAAGGCATAAAAAGGCAAGGAATGAATTACGGGGTGGATACACCATGGACCTTCAACTTTTGGTTAGTTACACGAGATATTTCAAGTGTGAATGAATAGAATGCATAACAAGTGATCTCAATTTAAGCTAATAATTCTGCTTATATTCTAGACAACTGGCATTTCACGAAAGAGAGGTCAGCTGACTACAGAGGAAGAATCCAGTCTCTGTTGTGTAACGGTTAAGACATTTCCCAAATTTTAAGGTGAAAAAAAGGTTAATTTGTTGGAAATTGTGTGGGTATTTTTTTCTTCTTCATTAAGACAAAAATCACTTAGAGATCACTTCCCATAATTAAGACAGAGATGAATGGGCAATGGAGGTGTTTCTGTTACTTGCTATAACTTTTTTCTGGACATCGAGCTCCTCTTCTTTGTTTAAAATAAATGAATACCATTTCCTAACTCCAAACTAAAAATAGCAGCAGAGAAACTCATTTGCTATTTTAGAAAGTAACTAATAAAACACATATTTCATAATACCATGTGACTCAAATAACTTAATACAAGTAATTAAAACCACTTCTGCACTTAACTTATCCTAAAATGACAATCAAATTCACTTTTAAAAAAATATTTCATTTATCAGGTCACATTTACATAAAAGAAATAAAATACTTTCATGTTCCATGAGGAGGGAAGAAGGTAGAATTAACTCTAACATAGTGCAAGAATATGGTGAAAGTGAAATCTTCAATGAAAAAAACAATTGCATAGGAATTAGGCTTCTGTCTAAGGGAAATTCTCTAGTCATATTTTCCAGAACACAAGTGGATGCTAAAATATGAAAATAGATAATAGCCATAGCATTAATTAAAATATTCTTTAAAATATTATTTCAAAATTCCATAGCACAATAGGAAACTTCCTAATTACCACATTCTGAAATGTAGCAGATAAATAGGTAATGAAATGTATTAGTAGAATTGATTATTTTGCTTGTTTTAATAAGAGTTTTCCTTCTTGTAAGATGAATTGGCCAAATCACATGTGTATGGAAGTCTAAGAAACTCTGGAACATACTATAAATTACCTGTATCCACTGGCCCAGAAATTTCTACCCTTGACAATTCTGGTTTTGTTGCCCATCTTAGGGGCCCAAAGAGAGGACGCAGGCAGAGCCCAGGGGTGCAGTTTCCTCTCAACCCTACAGGAAGAAGCAGGCTGGCACAGAGGGACCGCAACCATCAGGCAGGGATCAGAGACCAGGGAGACTAAGTAGGCAAGTGCAGGGCAGGAGGTGGTCTTTGTTCAAAATTTTGCTATTGTGTTCACCATGGATTTCTAATATTGAATTAACTTTGAAATTTTGAGGTACTGCATTACTGAGTTTTTTGGCACCCACTTAAATTTTGCTCCCAAGGTGAGTGTCTCACTTACTCACCCTAGTGCCAGCTCTGCCTAAGCAGCACCTGGGCTCTGGGTTCCAGCAGATCCTTGGAGCCAGGCTAGAACACAACCTTTCCCTTCAACCGCCTCAGCTTGGAGGGGCCAGAGCGGGCTCCTACAAGAACAAGGCTCTCCCTGCCTGCAAAAATAAAACAAAGGGTACAGAAATATGTCCTCTTTGTCTCGCAGGGAACTGATGGGAGTGTCAGGTAACAGTTGTCATTGATAGAACTGACACTCAGCTTTTAGCTGTGCTCTCTCCCAGGGCTTCTGTTTCTGAACAGGAACCGTAATTAACAAAGGAATCAATGCCCTGAACATGGATGTAGAGGGGAAAATGAGGAGTTGTCTGTCATAACATGTTCACACAAAAAGTACGAAAAATCCCTCCAAAACATGCTAAGTAAAATAAAAACGAGAGGCTTGATGTACTACATTGTAAATGTGACATACAGCTCTTTTAAATCATGACACGGGCAGGATTACATGTGGTAGAGCTAAACTAACACCATGGGTACCTTTCTATTCTTGAAGGGAACAAAAAATACTTTCAGTCTTATTGCTCAACTTCTCACCAGATTTGCCAACACGTGTCTCCTTATCTTTCCCAAAATACATACTGATGGTCCTTAGGCAGGGCCAGACGCTGCCCCTTCATAAAAAATACTGGGGGCCTGCTTTCTCTCCATTTGTGTTTGATGAGAGTAGAGTAGAGAAAGGGACTAACCAAAGTTCACTAACTCCCGGTGTTCATGCTTTCAGAAATGTTATCTTACTTGGTGCCCAGTTGGCCCTCTTAATGGAGACATACTCTCACAGAGAGCGTTAGGGGAAGTGGGGAGGAAGCTTTAGTTCTGGCATTTGCAACAGCTAGAACCACAAAGCCCCAAGTTGTCACATTTTTTTCTGCAGGGATATGATAATACCAGATGTAATGCTACTACTCTGTCTTTCATTTTAGCAAGTAGTCTCATCATAGGATTGTTTGCAAAGATGAAATACAGGAGCTTCATTTCCATCATCTTTCATGGAAGTCAACTTTGGACACTGGAATACTTTTTGGAAATTGAAAGCGGAAGCCATAGGTAATAAAAGCTCTCAAAAGGAAAGAAGAGAAAATTAAAACATTGATCTGATTAAAAAGCCCTCAAGATGACCTGACGATATTAGATGGGTATTGGTTTTTAGGTATTAACACGGCTATATATCTATTTTATACATTTCTATGCAGACTCAGTAGAAAAAACACTTAAATATATATTTAAGTCCATAGGATCCCAAAGCACTTGAGGATTTAAACTGATAAGCCAACCTCAAAGGGACTGATTCTTGCAACTAAAACACAGACACCTCTGGGGTGAAATGTGGCAACAGTTTGACAGGCATAGCAGTAGCTTAGGCCAGGAAGGATTTATCCAATTAAAATTATGGGATGAATTTTGGCTGGCAGAATGTAATTACCAGCCTTGGAATGGATCCAGGATCCTGAGGTTAACACCCCTCCTCTTGCCAACAACCCTCCTACCTGCCAACACTCTGAGATGGGGAAGGCTGGATCTGACACAATCGCACATAATACTGTTGTGACATCTAAGTACAATGATGATGATGTGAGAAGCATCATGAACCTGATTTTTTTTAACACTCATTATGTTACTTATTTTTATGCCACATTAGGCTAGAAACCAAATGTCCACATAAATGTTAATTTCCTCAAATGTGTGTTTAAAAAGTATAATTAGAAAATAAAAAAATAGATTTAAAAATTAATTTATTCTGTCAAAGTAGTTATTTAGTGATTATTTCAGTGTAGGAACGAAATTGGATCAAAATGATGACATTTGATCGTTGCTACATTTAAAAAAAAGGCAGGTCCTGATTTTTTGGAAGAGAAATGTGTTCTTAAAGTTCACTGGCCTAGAAAAACAGGGAAATGCTTAATGCTTGGTTCATGTTGGTTGTCACTTTGACTAAATGGTCATGTGCAAGCGCTGCTTTTGTCCTGGGGTGGGTCCAGTTCATATTTAAAAGCACCCGCGGGGAATTTTTCACAGGAGGGAGTTTACCAAAGGGGTTCGTGTGCACGTGTGCCTGTAAAACAGAAAGAAGAGCCCCCTGCTGGTGTATGATCAACGGGTAATGACCTCATCATTGGATCCTAATGCCCTTTTAGAATGTCATTCATTTACACGAGAGAATTGTGAAGAGTTCCAAGACGAAAGCAGAGAAGAGGCAACTCCAAAAAGAACGTTAAACTTTCCGGGACGACGGAACACAGGGTGAAGGCCGGCGCCAGAGTAAGGGTCAGAGTCAGGGTCACGGAGAGAACGCCGCGGGGAGCGTGCGCAGGGCGCCCGGGAGGCGGGGCTGACGGCGGAAGCTGCGCGCAGGTCAGGCTCGGCTACTTCGGTATAGTTCCCTCGGAACCTGGTGCTCCTCCGTGCGCGGAGGTCGGTTCTCCTAAGTCGCAGAGCGGCCCCGTGGCTATAGGTTCGAACCTGGTCCCGGGCTGCGCCTCTCGTAGACCGGGCTGCCGGCGGTCCCCGTGGGGGCGGCCAGGAAACCCTCCGGGACCCTTGCCGAGTCCCTCGGATTACCCTTCGGCCCACTTGGCCCTGGAACCCTCCATACCGGAACCGGGGCGAGGCTGCCACAGTCGTCCCCGCCGCTGGTTCCAACTTAAGCACGCGCTTCCGACTGGTCCGCGAGTCGCTTCGCCACCCTGCAAGTGCTAATTGTGGTGCGTGCGCAGGAGGCTGGTGATATTGGCAGAACCGTCGCGAACTGCTCCATTCCGCTGTAGCCCCCGCTAGTACCCCCCGGGGTGAGGCATGTTTTTGGTCTATTGGCCGGAAGTCACCGAGTGGTGCTTGAAGGGATGGGCGGTCTAGGGTTCCACTCTCCCAAAAGCGGTAGGAGGGCTTGCTCTAGGTCACTTTGTTAGAAGAGGGAGAGAAATTCTTAGCCTTTTGACTAACAAGCCTTAAATGCTCTCCAAAAGCCTGGTACTGCTGTTAATTTTTTGCTGCGAAGGTATATTTTCCTAACACCATCTTTGTGTGATTTAGCTGTCCACAGGGAATCAAAATGTGGAACGAGAAGATGAAACTAATCCTTTCTTTTGCATTGTTAGGGGTTGCCATAAACACCATTTGTTAAAAAGCATAATTATGTTGGGAAACTGCCTGATGAGACAATTAAGCTACATAAACACACCGAAAACAAATGAAAGCCAGAAGACGCCCACACCCCTTGTGTAAAGCAATTTTTTGTTTACATAAAAACTCGAGGTCTGAGCTGCTTTATTACAACAATGTTATTAATGTCTAGGAAAACCTAATGACCGTATTTTTATGAATTTTCAATGTAGTGATGGTCACAATATGAAAACCTGAACAAACCTTGAGCCTCGTACTCTCAGATTAAGATGATTAGGCCAATGATCCTAGAACGGAAGCCAGTGGATTTATGCATTGAGAGCGCTGTTATTTGCATCCAGCACATTTAGTTGAAATTTACAAGCTTAATGTTTGTCTCAGAGTTGGACACTGTTCATTTAAGTATCCTTCACATGGAGAACATTACCTGACACAAAATGACCTTTGTCAAGTATTTGTTGAAGGAATTCATGAGGGCTACATTCTTTTTTAGGTATGATAGTTAGAAGGCCAAAATATGATGGCCTGATCTTGAAGAGAGGAATTCTTTTACTATTTTGAATTAAATTTGTTCAATTCATATCATTTGAGATAAGGAAAGATAATGAGTTGAAAAATGTCTGTCTAGGGTACTAAAGAGAAAGCAATCTCCAAAATGTGTGCAATTACTTCATTTTCAGGGAAAGAATCACTCACATTTTTGGAGTTATTGAGTAACGCTGGAGTGCACATCAGCTTTCAGTTCAAGGTGCAGAGTCCTGTGAAAAGATTTTACACTGATTTAGAAACTCTGGAGATCAAAGTGCAAGAAGGGGAACTTAGTCAAATAGTTGTCATTTAAAACCCTCAAATTAGTCCCTTTATTTCTTTTTGCTAGAGGAATAATTTTTTATAAGAATCAGCATGATAAATAATCTCCCTCATTTTTTTTTTTTAACTCTCCCCAGTAAGTCTCATTTAACAGAAGGATCATGCTTATTTGTGACAGAAAAGACCTGGAAAACAGAGAACAGATAAAGCAGATTATGCTTAAAGGGGAATAACATACTTTAATGAAAAAGTTTCACTTACACCACAGAATTCAGGCTGAATGACTTGAAGGATATATTCTAGTGTCAATAATACGTTCATACGTGCGTGGCATATACACATAGTTTCTTGATGAGTCAATCTGAGGATTTTATCATTTAGGTGTTCCCTAGGAATGAAGAGTGACGTGTTAATATTATGACTAATTGGTTTCCAAAGAGCTATGATGTTTTTATGGTGAATAAACATGAAAATATGAATGAAACGTAGAGACTGAAATGAAGGTTCCTTTTTCTCCCATTCTAGAAGAATTCAGCATGTCTTCCTCCAGATTGGGGCTCCGTTTGGCTGCCTGTTTACTAAACATTTCAGAAGCCAGAAGAAAACACATTGTTGAGAACATAGCAAAAGCAGCTCTTCTTGGAAAAAATGGTAGGAAAAACAGATATGTAGTGTTTTGATAATACAGTAACTTTTGTACTCTGCAGACAGTATCCGTAGAACACTTTTCTTTCTTCATAGATTTACCCCCTTGTTCTTGGGCTGTTAACAGCTTCTGCAGGACTCTGGGATACTGAGGGAGAACGGTTACACAGATGTGCACATATGGTCTTTTCCAAATGCCTACATGCGCTCAGAAACACAGTTCTTGACTTTGGAGAGTGATTGTCTGAAATATCCACTGTTCAGGATATTGACAGGCTCCTGAGAAAGGTATAGTTACGTAAAGGTTAAAGACTCCCTTCATAGGCTGTTTATTTGGTCATTAATAGAATGAGAGTAACTGGGCATTATGCTTTTTATTCAGCAGGTTACATAAAAAATAAACTTGCCGTATACCAACTACTTCTCAAAGCACTCCTGCCAGCAAAGCCCATGCTATCATTATGGCATTATTACTTCACATTTTCTCTGTGTAAAGACTCAGGCAATTGCATTGAATTGATGTGGGCAAGATCACTTAGCAATTCAGAAGACTGGAACTCAAGCCTCTTTACTTCCTGGGCCAGTATTTACTAAGATAGAGAGTACCTTTTTTTTTTTTTATTTTTTACCCTTGTTGAAATGTTCACATAATGAAACAGTTCAAGACATCACTTGTTTTTACTCATATACACAAAGCACAGGGTATTTACAGACTTAAAATTGTTTAAATAGAAAGCCTTGTTGTTAAATGAAGTCTTTTTGGCAATGGGTGAGCATTAGGACCAGAGTCCCAAAGCTTTTTGGACAGTAAATTTTAATTTCTTATTGTCATTTTTGATTTAGTTATTGCTTTTCATGAGGAAGAAGTGTTTCCTTCAGCCCATTGCTAATGATTGAGGACATTTAAATTACTGTCTTGCAACTTTGCAGGAGCTAGAAATGTCTATGAAAATTCCTGATAGTGCTGATAAGAAAAATCCTCTGGAGTCACTATACAGCTGTGCTTTTGCATTCTCTTTGTGGGAATAGCCCGTTTGGGCCCCTCATTGTCAGACACAGTACATGTAATGGGATTGGGTTACCTGTCTCTGTGATTAAATGACTGTGCAGAGACATTTGGGGAAGCCACACACTGGTGGACGCTTGGGTCTCTACTCATAGTTTTTATCAGCTTATTAGTGGCAGCAGCTCAAATGGAATTATAGCTATTACACTCCATTACAAATACCAAACAATTTACTTCTGCTGAGATTCAGACTGACAGCTCCTCCTGCCAGCAGTGATTTTTTCCTATGTGCATGCTGTAGAAATTGCAGGAGAAAGTGTTGCATTCTTTCAGCATTTGATTCAATTGGGTCATATGAAACTGAGAATAAAAAGCTTTTCAGAAGAAATGGAGGATGAAAAAAAATAAAATCATCTCTTTTCTTCTAGGAGCTAGAGTGCGTTGAAAAATACATTTAAAAGGAGGTTGTATGAGCTTGTTCTTGCTTTATTTTTTATAGTTATGGAAATGCAGGGAAGGTAGCAGTAGTTAAGAAAATGACCTATTGTTTTACAAATACTTTAAAGGCATTTATTTTTAAGTGAGTGGAATAAAACCGTATCACCTATAATTTTTCTAATTAAGTAATGTGAAAACATTTAAATGGCATAAAAAGTCTAGGTAAAGAAACCTGAGTTATAAATTTTAGACCTACACCAGGGCAGGTCTGTATAGATGCTCATTTGGCTATGAGCAAGTGACATAGTTTATCCTTTCATATTATTAAAGTTAATAACATAGGGCTGCCATAAGCTCTGTAGTTCCTGCGTGTAACTTATTTTTCCTCTCTTCTGAAAAGATTAATTGTTAAGCTGCCAGGGGACAGGGCGACAAAGGTATAATGGCATAGAGAAAGGTTTAATTACCGCCTGAAAACTTTTGTCCTTCACTTTGAATTAGCTTTTGCAGGCTTAAGGGGGACTTTTAAAGGGGCTGAACCAGGCTTGTAAACTTCAAAAATAACTTCGGGGTTATGTGTGGCTGCCATATAGGGTATGGCAGCTTTCTCCTCAAGGTTACACATTCAAGTGAGTCACAAGCCACTGAAAGCTGGAAGTCATTAACATCTGAAGGCTGTTGGTGGCCCCTGAAAAGGAGATGGTGGAGTCAGAACAGTTTCTAATAGACAGGTGCATGCATCCCAGAAACCTCTGCTTCAGGCGCTAATTGGCCTATCCTAATTTTTCCAGATGTCAGATTTTCTTCTAGACAGTTTGATTTCTGAGTTTGGGAAGGAAAAATTGGTAAGACCTAGAAGATGAGATTGATGAGGAACAGAATTTAGAGTGATATGACGTGGCAATTGAAAGAGGAGACTACCGTTTTAGACTGAGTTAAGAGAGATCAAAGGCTAGTGTTTGAGCTTAGCCATCTGGTTATAGAGAAAGATGCTGCAAGAAGTGGACATTACTACCCATGAATTTTGTGATTAGCCAAAGCCACTTCAAAGGTCACACCGCAGAACTGTATTGAACTAAATTTAATTGTATCAGAAGAAATAAAGTATTAGGGCTTCATTACAGAAAAACAATTGTGTGTGTGTGTGTGTGTGTGTATTTTTTTTTTTTTAACAGGGAAGAATCATCCTGAAGTATCAGTACTCAATATATTTTCTGATCAAGACTACAACAGATCAGTCATTACAATAGCAGCTTCTGTTGATGAATTAGGTGAGATTTCAGTTTCTTTCTCTCCATATATGTCTATGAAGAAGGGTAGGTTTCAGATAGACTGGAATGCTCTTTAGTCATTGATTTCCTGTTCAAATATGAACAATCCATTACTTGGAGAGTCTACCTCAAAACTACATTTCATCATTTTTCTGAACATACACATCTCAGACATTTCCCATTTCCTCTTCAGTAAAATGAACCTTGGTGTCCAAGAGTTAATATCATTCTTTCCCTGAAGATGATCAGATACCCTTTGTGGTTAAGAAAAACATCTTCAAGCTTTAACCTGTGGAGAAATAGGGTGGTAGTCAGTCTTGATTTCAGTTATAAGTTGGCATAGGATGAAACACGCTAAGCAGTTATATTTTGTGTTGGGAGCCCAAATATTGAGTTGGTTCATGGGTTGAAATGAAATGTCTCATGCTGTAAGGTTTAGTGGGACAACTTGAATTTGAAGGATCAAAACTGTTTAAACAAAAACCTGTATTAATATTGCTTAATAAAGGGTTCAAAATAGTTTAAAATAAACTTTATTTCAACTGAGCAGATTGTCTTTTTTCCAAAAGGTATTTGTTTGAAGAACCAAGAGCTGACTGATAACTCCTAGCAAACAGAGGATAAATTACCTTGAATATTAATTATAGGATGTAAAATTTGCTTCTTTGCTGTTTATCTCTCTTGCTAAAATGGTCATATGGTACTGCTAATAAAAACTCACAGAATAATAACATAAAACTCTTAGGTGTCTATAATATGTATTTAGATAAAACAGTAAATCTACTGGGCAAGAGCAAACCTAAAATACTTACACACTTTTAAAACTTTATTTTTGTATGTATACTTTAATATAAATTCATAACACATTCTGAAAATAACAAAGAACTTTAATTCATTTGATAAAATTGAAAAGATTTAAAGTAACATATTATAAAAAAATACAGAGGTATTTAAGACTGATAAACTTTGCATAATTCCTCCACTTTGGGGAATAAAGAGTTGAAAGAAATGTGAAACTTCAGGAGAGTAGAGAGGTGGGGCAAGACAATTGGGAGGTGGGACAAGGGGAAATGTTAGCTCTTTTATTTTTATTATGGGTGAAAAAAATCTATACTGATTACAAAAGAAAAACAGCCAGTGGGGCAATAAAATATATCTGCTTCCTGAGTCATGTTTGAAAGTTTAATGATTGTCTTACACAATTTTACCTTTTAAAGGCAATTCTGTTCTGGCTGCCTGCTTGGAGGCCTTCCAGTCTATCGATATGGAGGTTCAAGAGGGAATCCACCCTTGTCTGGGAGCAGTGGACCTGATTCCCATTTACCCTCTCACTGATGTTGGAGTGGAAGAGTGTGGAGCTGTGGCCAGAAGTAAGAGAAAGTTTGGGGTGGTGTGTTATCTCTTAATGGAAACTATTTTTACAAATGAGAATAGCTTGAGACAATATAATCACTCCTCAGCTCCCTGGGAAAAGTCAACCTTGAAGATCTGTATCAACAATTAGCTTTAATGGGTCGCAGTGGCACATCGTGTCTCTGTGACTCATCCTTCTACTTTCCACACCACGACACTATGGGATACGAACTGCTCTGGGATGCAGCAAATCAATCATTTTGTCCTTTACAAATTCCTGATGGATCATGAGGAAACAACAGTAGTTTCTAATGAGTTCCTTAGACTCTTCAGGGCAGAGTGATGGTGTGTTTTGCCCATCTGTGTCTTATTTTCTTGAGCAGGGGTAATGATGAGGTTGAAAAACCACTTAAATGTTAACTCCTAACCCTTTTTCCTCTGACTTTTTTCCCCTTCTTTTCCTATGCACGACTCTCTTTAAGATTTTCTTTAGAACTGAACTGTCACATGCTTGATTTCAGCCCCAGGGGTAAGTTTAATTTGGAAAATTTGAGCTATGTCACTTGAGGTGTTTTTGAATTAGGCAAATTGGGAGAAAAGAAAGACCTTTTGCCTGGACTGTCTAGCTGCACCACGGTTAATTACGACACGCAGAGGCTCATAACCTTTGGGGAAAAGTCCGCCTTAGGATAATTGCATTCTTCTCTGTATGACCTCAGAAATCCCTCTATGATGTTGCCTCATTTTTATTTAATAGTGAATTGTCTAACATTTGGGATGTAGATTTGGACTCTAGCTGAGCTACATCAAGCACTAGGAATAGGAAATGAGACTTGTTTCCAAAGGAGAACCTCACTGTTGTGCTGCATTTTAATATGACCTGACAATCTAAGGATTACTTCCCAGCAAAGTCTTGGCCCAACATTTGCTTGCTTTTTTATCCAAGAAAGAGTTAAAATGCAACATGGGGGAAAATATGTCTCACACAAAAATGAAGAGTTCAGAATTGTTGAGACCAGAATAATGATTTTAATTGTCTTCAAAACAATTATGTTCAATTACATTAAATCTCAAATTAGCTAGTACATGAAGTTCTTCATTACATCAGGACTAGTCCACCCCAGATGTTCATCCTGCATAGGAGACAGTTGACAATCACGGGGTCTGGACACAGTATTTCTCCCTTCCCTCGCCCTTTTGCTTCATTGGCAGCTACTGTACCTCATGATTTAAACATGGACATTTCTAATTAAATGAGAGCTCAGCTGCATTCTTGAACTAATTTATAACATTTGATTTGAAATGTAATAGCTTCAATCTTCATCTGATTAAAAACAGTCACGTACTGTACATGGTTACTATTTTGATGCTCCAACATGCAGTTTTTATTTTTACATTCCCCTTTCTGCACAGCTGTTCATCTAATATCATCCAATTTTTTTTTTTTGTAACAACATGCTCAGACATTCTTAAAAGGCAAAAGTATTCAAATTCTATGATCTGGCTGTTCCCCAGACAGCGAACGGGTGCTTTTCAGTAGGGTAACCTCTTCTCGGGGACACCAACCTTAAGTTAGTAATTCAGCTAACTTTCCTTGGGAAGAAGGGCAATGGAGAACAGTGCAGTCACATAAAAGGGAGTTGATACTGATAATTAATATTGACTATTATATTGATAATTCATATATACTTTGTGTGTAAAAACTGAATAATACATTTTGGGACTTTTTGTTTTCAGCTATAAACTTCCTTATACCTTAAGGAGGGTGATCTTAAAGTAGGGTCCAAAATTGGTGTTCAGAGGACTTATAAATACTATAAAAATCATTTGCAGGTTTTTATGTATGTGCCTTCTTGTATATATACATAGACACATACATTCGAACGTAATTTTATGTATAATTTTAGTTTAAGAATTTTTAGAATAAAGGGCACAACAAGCAGAGGCTCAGTGGTGGGAGCAGCCTGAGCTTCCAGACCAGAACTTAGAGGCCGGTGCGATGAGAAAGGCATTCCTGGGAAGGCGATGAAATGAAGCTCAAGAGGTAATTAGAGGTCAGATCATGAAGTCTTACATGCCAGGTGGAGTTCAAAGCCTATTCTAAGCGACGTGCACCATTGAAGGGTTTTAAGCAAGAAAGTGGTGTGATTGGCTTTGAATTGTAGAAAGACCACTCTGCCTCCATGATAGAGAATGGACAAGAAGCAGGCAAATCAGTTTGGAAAGTTGATGGTGGCCTAAGATAATAGAGAATGGGGAGACTGTATGGGATGTTGGGGTTGGGGAACAAAACAGTGGTATCTAAAGTTGAGATTTGGGGGAAAAGCATGAGTTCTGTTTTTTTATATTCTGCCATTTGGCAATTGAATATACAACTGGGAGCCAGGGGACACATAAACCTACTCTATATTTATTTAAGTCTTACAGTTTTTAAACATGTTTTGGACTTCAGTTTTTTATTTTCTATAGAAACCACATTTGGTCAGTTAGACTACATCTCATTTTTACCTCTACTATGTCTCTAATTTTTTCCTCTTCTCCCTTTTTCCCTTCTTCCCTCTTTCCTTGCCCCTCTCTCTTCTTGCCATCCCTCCTTTCCTTCTTTTTGTTGTTATCAAAATGATACATGCATGTGGCTAAAAGCCATATGTTCTACAGGGTTTGTCCCCCAAACTTTAAGTTCCTACATAGCCCGCCTTTCCCCCTTACCATACACAAACTTTAATTTCCTCCTCCCCCAAGCCAAGTGCTCTCACCTCTTTCATTTTATTATTTAATATCAATACCAGATACCTAAATATCAACGGAACTTCTTCGTTTTTGAGTTTTAGGCATTGTCTATTGACTTCTTACTGCAGAAGGTAAGCATTTAGCTTCCTCTCACCCCACCCCTCATTTCCCAACACACTCACACACACGCACACTCTCTCTCTCTCTCTCTTTCTCTCTCTCTCTTACACACACACTCTTACTTCCCAATACTTCCTTCTCAATATGTTGTGTTGGCCAAAAAGTTCATTTAGTTATTTCCATATGATGTCTCTAGTAGCGCTTAGTTGTCTTTAACTTCATTTGAAACATTTCTTTTGTATTGTGACAGCTGTCATATTAGCATGGATTTTAAAAAACTTATCAAAATTGGTGAATTATTGTGCAGCCATTATAATATTGAAGATGGAAGAAAATATGCAATGTTTTTAGCATATTATGCTTTATTTGAAGAAGGGTAAAAACGCAACTGAAATGCAAAAAAAAGAAAGATTTGCGCAGTGTATGGAGAAGGTGCTGTGACTAATCAAACGTGTCAAAAGTGGTTTGTGAAGTTGCTTGGTACTATTGAAATTTTGGCCAAATAATTCTTTCCTGTGGGGCCGTCTTATGCATTGGAAGATGTTTAGCAGCACCCCGGCCTCTACTCACTAGAAGCTGATGGCAAGAGGTAGCTGACATACGCAAAATATTCAAATCAATGAAGTTATTGGTGAAAATGAAAAAAATGTGTATTTTATTTTACAGAAAAAACTAAACAGACTTTTTGGCCAACCTGATGGTTATGTCAAAATCTGGATCAATACTTAGTGGTTACATTTTTATGACTGTAAACATGCTTCACAATGAATTATTTAAAATGTTGTTATTTTATCCTTTCTGCAAATTTTTTTTTTCTGGAGATGATCATTATCTTTTTGATTGATTACTTAGTTTTTATTTACTTATCACTGACTTAACCCCAAACTCTGTGTTAACATTTCTCCGTGCATTCAAGTACAGCAATCCATGTGCTGAGTGTCCTGTACTTTTCATCTTCTTGAAGAAATATCTTCTCAAACTCTGAACTGTTCCAATTAGGACTGTTTATCCTCAATTTGTTGAGCATAACTGTCATCCTGGGATCTCCTAGGTATCCCCTTTATCTTTCTCTGTGTTGGAGTCCTTGGTTCCTGAATCCTGTGGGGGGTGGGGGGTGGGTGTGTGTGTGTGTGTGTGTGTGTGTGTGTGTGTGTGTGTGTGTGTGTCTTAAAATTTATGCCCTTGTTTTGATAGCTATCCCTTAGTAGCTATCAAAAAAATGGGGGAACTACATTTCTGATACCTTGTTGGTCTATAAATACCACTCTTCTACCTTCACATTTGTTAGCCTGGCTAGGTATAGAATTCTAGGTTAGACATAATTTACCTTTATTTTGAAGGCATTGTGTGATTGAATTCTTATTTTCATGTTGCTCTTGAGACTTACGAAGCCATTGTGAGTCCTGATCTTTGTATGTGAACTGTCATTTTTTTCTGGAGTCTTTAAGATCTTTACTTTGTTCCCACAGTTCTGAAATTCCTGTTACATTCCTTTTTATGGATCTGTTTTCATTCATTGTGCAGGAGTCTTGGTAGGCCCTTTGAATCCTTGAAACTCTTACCTTTCAGTGCTGGATAATTCTCTTGAATTATTCCATTGATGATTTCTTTCATTTGCTGTTTTGTTTTTGTTTTTGTTTTTTGTTTTTTTTCTAGAAGCCCCGTTATTTGGATATTGGAACACCTGTACTACTTCTCTACATTTATTTTCTCTCTTTTTTCCATCACTTCATATTTTTATACTACTTTCTGGCAAATTTTCTCTATTTTATATCCCAAGCCTTCAGTCAAAATTTTTCATTTCTTCTGTATTAGTTTCCAAGTGCTTTTCATTTACTCTCTAAATGTTTCTTTTATTTTATTATTTTAATTAACATCCTGGTCTTGTCTCATGTATGTAATATCAATGGATAAGTTTTGACATCTTCTTCTTCCTGCACAGTGTCTGATCCCCAGCCCCTAACCCCAGGCTGCATTTCTGTGTTTTAAAGGCTTTCGTCAAATGTCTGATGGTCCATGGTGGGCAGCTTATTCTGAGTGAATACCAAAAGGTTGAATGGATACTCTGAGTATGTAGGTGGGGTTTGTTAGCTTCAGCTGATCTGACTGTATTGTTTATTTGGGGACCTCCTATGTCTGTATTTTTTTCATCTTTCCTCTTGGGCTG